CCCTTTTTTGAAAATCATTCTCCATGTGATTTGTCGGGTGAGATTAATGTTCTCTACCTTTGGATCAGTTATAACGTTAGAATTATCTTGCTTAGATGTTAATTTGACAATGTGATTGTGAAATAATACAGTTATTCACATGTTCTGCACGGACCACGTCTTGCCCGACCCATGTACCTTTGCCAGTGCCGCTCGGCCGCGTACATCATAATATTTGTATTATCTCCTATTTGGGATTGTGCAGCCTATTTTCTTATTTATGCGGCTGGGTTGCTTATTTATTTTTGTACCGATGTACTGAGTTGTTTATGTCTGATGATTGTACATTATTTGTGAAGGTGTAGGATATGTTAATAAAGAAATATGATTTTGTATAGAAGCAAACTCTCCATTGTGTCTTGATTTCATATTCGCCGCCATGTAAAATAATATGTAAGTCACGAAGACAAAATCTTTAATAATTTACCATCATGATTTAAAGATTTGACTGTCACCAAAACACAAATGATAAGACACATCATTTTGGCATATGAAATATAACAGATTAGGTGTAAAATACAACATGTCTAAGTTGATGATTTGAAAGGCACCGGAATACGTGCGGTAATCTTTGCCATCTTGTGTGACCTTAACTTTGACGGTGCCAGTCACGTCGGCAGGAAGTGTGATATATTGGGGTCACATCAGGTCAACAGGATTATAGCACTGTATATTAATAAGAGATCGTTCTTGTGGCACATGTAAACATAAAATGTCGCCTTGAGTAAGTTTTCTGGTTTAGAACACACTGATTGAATAAAATAAATATTGAAATGAGAAGTGAACACTATGGGTTTATTGATCTCGGTAAAACGGTGCACCCCACTAGCTTTATTATAACGAAAATGAACGTCCTGTGAGAAGAGAACAACCTCACAACTCTCTCTATATACATAATATGCATGTAGTGTACATGGGTCTTGACAAGGACGAAATACACAGCTGAGGGGTTCAAAATCCACCTCTCACTTCCAGAAATGTCCATGGTTAGATATGAAGTGATTATGATATATATATATATATTGCAAAAGTAAATCATTAAAGCATTAAACGGAGTCGGTATAAATGCACAGCTTTCTCATTGTTTCACCATGCTATCCATTGTGAACTCGGCGCCCGTGATTTCATCTCTCGCAAACAGTCCTACATACTGAGCATCATTTAACAATGCAACAGCTTTGGGACAGAAACAACCTAANTAACCCTAACCCCTAACCCTTACCCTTACACTTACAGTTTTATTAGGCGTGACAGACATTCAAGCCCGTGAAGTTGATATCAATTTAGTACGACTCCCCAATGTATCTCATTGATCCAAATATGTGGTCCTTTATTGTCATTTGGGGGGCAAGGGTGGGCTAGCTTTGCATCCAAGGACTGACATCCCAGTTTAACGGAGCCTCTTTCAAACTATCCTGCACCAGCCCGTCGTCTTCTAATTCCTGTATATCGCATTAACTTCATGTCTTTTTTGAAAATCATTCTCCATGTGATTTGTCGGGTGAGATTAATGTTCTCTACCTTTGGATCAGTTATAACGTTAGAATTATCTTGCTTAGATGTTAATTTGACAATGTGATTGTGAAATAATACAGAAATTCACATGTTCTGCACGGACCACGTCTTGCCCGACCCATATACCTTTGCCATTGCCGCTCGGCCGCGTACATCATAATATTTGTATTATCTCATATTTGGGATTGTGCAGCCTATTTTCTTATTTATGCGGCTGGGTTGCTTATTTATTTTTGTGACGATGTACTGAGTTGTTTATGTCTGATGATTGTACATTATTTGTGAAGGTGTAGGATATGTTAATAAAGAAATATGATTTTGTATAGAAGCAAACTCTCCATTGTGTCTTGATTTCATATTCGCCGCCATGTAAAATAATATGTAAGTCACGAAGACAAAATCTTTAATAATTTACCATCATGATTTAAAGATCGATTTGACTGTCACCAAAACACAAGTGATAACACACATCATTTTGGCATATGAAATATAACAGATTAGGTGTAAAATACAATATGTCTAAGTTGATGATCTGAAAGGCACCGGAATACGTGCGGTAATCTTTGCCATCTTGTGTGACCTTAACTTTGACGGTGCCAGTCACGTCGGCAGGAAGTGTGATATATTGGGGTCACATCAGGTCAACAGGATTATAGCACTGTATATTAATAAGAGATCGTTCTTGTGGCACATGTAAACATAAAATGTCGCCTTGAGTAAGTTTTCTGGTTTAGAACACACTGATTGAATCAAATAAATATTGAAATGAGAAGTGAACACTATGGGTTTATTGATCTCGGTAAAACGGTGCACCCCACTAGCTTTATTATAACGAAAATGAACGTCCTGTGAGAAGAGAACAACCTCACAACTCTCTCTATATACATAACATGCATGTAGTGTACATGGGTCTTGACAAGGACGAAATACACAGCTGAGGGGTTCAAAATCCACCTCTCACTTCCAGAAATGTCCATGGTTAGATATGAAGTGATTATGATATATATATTGCAAAAGTGAATCATTAAAGCGTTAAACGGAGTCGGTATAAATGCACAGCTTTCTCATTGTTTCACCATGCTATCCATTGTGAACTCGGCGCCCGTGATTTCATCTCTCGCAAACAGTCCTACATACTGAGCATCATTTAACAATGCAACATGCAGCTTTGGGACAGAAACAACCTAAGCATATAATTATACAGCATCTTCTCAATTCAGGTGATTTAAACTCTCTTTAATGTCCCCTTGTCACTGCCAAAGGTAATATTACAATCGCTAGAGAAACGTGTGTTCATTGTTGACCGCAGATAAGGCTTAATGACTGTACAGCACGCAGGCAGCCAAGCGTTCAGGACATCATCTCACCACACTGGCTGGAACTGGTCTAGGGTGATAGACGCCCTTGTTATTAATAGTTTCTCAAAGATCATGAAGTTACAATATATAACAAGGACATAGACGATGTTGTTTTTAAGTGGTGACAGGACGAGGGTGAGCGTCACGTGACATGAGGGACATATTAACTCCCGAACAAACAACTGCACCTTGAACTCTCCGTAGCACCAACCACGTGGTAGTTCTTAATTATCATAAGGACAGCGAAGAAGACTTTGACTGATTTCTCCAATCTACCAAGATTCACTTTGTATTGACTCCATGTACTTTTCTAAAAAGATGTTTAAACGTGGACCATAGAACGGGCGTTGTTTCTGTATGGTGCATTATTCAACCGGAGACATCCTTTATACTTAAATGTCAGGCAAGTGTACATTGATGCGACTGTTCAACTTGTACAGAAGTTTTTTTTTGTAGTTAGAATTGGGCTCTTAAATATTCAGCCGAATTGTTTTGGAAGGAGCAGTCGTTAAATATCTTCTTTAGTTTAGAGATAAAATTAAAGCGCTCTTTTGGCATAATTTCGACATCTTCTGCATGGACACGTTGGACAGGGTTCATGTGCATCAACTATGCCACACATGGGTATTTAGAAGCATACAAGGTGCACGTAGTTGTTGAACTTGCCAATCTCCATTAATGATATATGACGGAAACGGCTTTGATATTTGAAATGCAAAGTACGAGAACTTTATGAGACAACATTCACAACATTCTCCTAATGTTGTCATAGATACACTTATTTGCAAAGTTTCACAGGGTTTTTAAGCAATATAATACAGAAGACTGGATATGCCAGTTGTAAATGAACCCTATGCTAAATAATTGCCCCTATTCAAAGGATCATCAACAAGTGGTACTTATGCTGCAAGCTTTAATGACTTTGAAGAAATAACTTTCCCTATTTTAATGTGACACTATAAACGTGCGAGGCATGGATAAAGAGTTGAAGAACGGGTTTCACAGTATAGACAGAGAACGTTTTAGTAATTATGTCAAAAGATTCCGGGTCGAGGTCAGGGGCTGTCTTCCAGACCCCAAATCACACCTTAGGACCCTGAAAATAGTGGAGACATCAAAGGTGGTGGACGATTTCGAAATCGATTTTGACGAATACGGATATCGGCTACATCGGCCCGGAGATTTGGTCTCAGGTCTCGTGCAACTTCAGTTGAGGTCCCCGTACGATTGTCACGTGGAGGTGAAGGTCATTGGTGAATACGTCATATTGGACAAGCTTGGCTCGGACACCACGGGGAAAAGATTTGATATGTATGCGGAGGGGGAAGAAATATTTTCAGCAGGAATAGAACTGGGGCAAATTATATCAGACACGCCTGTTCCCTTTAAATTCCAACTTCCCAGTGGCATTCCTGGTTCCATGTCCTATGTCACGACCAGTGGGGCTCGCCGAGTTATGATCACCTATTTTGCGGTAGGGATCATATATGACGACGTTGGAAGAAAAGTGTCAGAATCTGAGAGGTCATATTTCTTAGTTCAGCGTCTCCTTAACCGGGACGCCTTAGAAACAGCCAATATAACCACAACGCACACACAAAAAAAGTCGTTCGGGCTCGCCTGTACAGGCAGTTCCATGTCATGCGCAGTAAGGGCAGGAAGAGTGGCCACTAGAGAGGACGTTACCTTCTCTCCTGAACTGGACAATAATAGCTGCTATAGTGTGAATGCTATCATGTGTAAGTTGTATCAGATGGTGACATTCAAGCATAAGGACCAGGTCAAGGTCGCGGAGAAGGTCAACAAGGCGACTTTTAAGCTTCGGCTAGATTGTGGTCCAGGAAAGAAATTTGGCGGGAACTCACAATATTGGTTTAATTTTCACAGGTATGAAAATGAATGAATATTCAATCAAATAAGTCAATCATGACAATCACCTGTACGTTTTAAGAATGGATAAACTCAAAAAGAATTTGTCATCCTTACAGATGTACTATTAACAAAACATAGAACATAATCAAGCGTTTTCAAACTTTGCAAGATATATTGAAAGCATTGACATTTGAATGCATCATTTTTGGATAAGGGAACCCTTTCTGAAACCCAGCATTCAAAGTCAAATCCAGAGAATATTCCATCGTTTCTTTTTTTGTTTTGTTTGAAAGGCTGGTGAAAATATTAATGTAGCTTTTTTCCCCGAAAGATTTACAAACACCAGTTTGATATAATCGCTGGCGACACAAAATCTGAAAATATTCATTACTTCGTGTTGTAAACCATTCCTGTCTGATTCCAGAGCTCTGGAACCGTCACTACTGAAGTCAGACCCTGGGTCACAGTACGTGGAGATTACATACCTCCTAGAGTGCAGGTTCCAGACAGGCCTTGGCCAGCCTAAAGGACCGAAAGTAAGCGGAACTTGGTGCCTTTTGTTTTTATCAGGATTTTTGTCTGTATATTCTTTCATTCTTTCTTCTCCTTTCAAGTACAAAAACTCTGTACATGGAGTCAGCACCTGCGTCTGTTGACGTTGTCGTCAATGTCTGTGCAGTCGTTGTCGCCGTGCACTTTCACCACTAACACGATTTATGGACAAACTGTGACTTATTTTTCTCAAACTTACTTTAGTGGTTTACGGTTCAGAAATAACGAGCAAATCACCATCAAATTCGAATATTGGATTTTATCTTTTGAAATGAAACATCCTGAAAATTTAACATTACTCACTATATATATATATATATATATATATATATATATATATATATATATATATATATATATATATAGTGGGCTGGCCATAGTAAATCGATGGATTTGTTTCCGAGGATCAATTTGTTCTGAATGCACTCAGATTTCAGAAAAAAAAGCTTCAATTTGTTCACTGCCACCATATAAAACATAAAACAAGGAAAACCGTGTTGCTCTGTAACTTAAGAGAATAATGCCAAGTTCTTAAAAACAACAAAAGTTGGAAAACCAGTCTGATTAAATTAATTTTCTTTATTTTTTTCTGGGAGGAGTTACAATGTTCAATTTCACGTTTCGGTATTCTCATTGTGTGACTTTAAAACTCATTGGCATGAAGCCAGATGTGATTTACATACGTGCCCATGCTACCTCTAGCATGTAATGTGAAATAGGTAATTACTAAGTAGTTAGGCATTATAAAATATTACATCAAAATTGACAATACTATATTGTGCAATAGCATCATTATTTTCTGCTTTGTGACTGTACATTTGTTAGCTCTGCTGCCTAGCTATTATTTCCCTTCTGTCTGTAAGTAATTTTCTACATATTTTCTTTTTTTATTTCATTGTCTTGCTTAACGTTTTACTAGGCTACCAAAGCCACATCTCTGCAATTAAATGTTTTATTCATATTGATGAAAGGAAAATATAAGACATTCCAACATAACCCGCAAAGTGCAGAATCCAGTGTTAATGTGACGGTAATTGACAAAGGGGGCTTCCTTCAAGAACTGTCCTGCGCTCCGAGGACACCGGAATAACCTTCTCACTGCAAATAATTAGTATGTTTTGTTTTCATTGAAATCAATATTAACCATTTAACCTTAATTAGGAGATTAAGACTTAATAAAGAAACCCAATCCTTCACAACTGAAGACATCCTTTAAAACTTAATTTCAGATCTTTCTAATTAATTAAATAGTTTTACATTAACAGATTCAGGTAAAATCATTATAACTGAGACACACAAACAATTTTGACAAAGTTTTGACATAATTTGAACAAAAGTGGAAAGTTTCTAAATTATAATTTGGTCATGAAATCAGCACTATAATAAAAGCACGCGCTTTTGAAGGGCTCTGTTGAGCTGTTTAGATCGGGTTATGGCGGGTAGAAACGGCGTTCATCTGATGTCCTGATTATCATAATTTTCATCTTATTGAAATGAATGGTGACATTATCCACTGCCCAAAGAGGGTGGATTTCCAAAGGGTGTAATTAATGACGATAAAGATAACTGACCAGGTATCCGCAAAAGCTGCTTGTATACTAGAGGCAAATCGAGTAACTAACCTCGTTGGTAACGTTTGTGATTTACTTACCGTAGCTTCCAGTGACACAACCATCTTAATTTGTTTAATGAGAATTAACTTGGGTAATTAGTCTGATAAAGCACGATGAAGGGTCTGTGGATAATGACTGAAGAGGTCATAGAGCGCATTCAGAACAGATAATCCGCGAACTTACTGATCCTCGGACTAAATATGGCCAATCCATCATAAAGGAAGCCACTTAATATCCTTATGGTCTCACCGCCTACACACGGCCATTAAACGGATTAAATATGGCCAATCCATCATAAAGGAAGCCACTTAATATCCTTATGGTCTCACCGCCTACACACGGCCATTAAACGGATTTAATATGGCCAATCCATCATAAAGGCAGCCATTTAATGTCCTTATGGTCTCACCGCCTACACACGACCATTAAACGGGTTAAATTTAGGCTCCGAAGTTTAATTGCTAGGCTACCGCAGGGACGGGGCGTGTGGAGGCGGGGAGACCATCAGGGAATTATTAGCGGCTACCTTTTAAGTGGGTCGGCCATATTTGGTCCGCGGATCAATTTGTTCTGAATGCGCTCTTATATACCTTGGTGACTTTAAGCGCATGGTGAACTGAGGTGCACGTTTTTTTTTTTTTTTTTTTTTGACGTCTGTATGTGCCAAGTAAGGTGAACCCATCCCCAGGGTGCACTCCAGTGGAGGTACCAGTAATGTTGAAGTATGAGATCCATGTTTTGCCAGGCTAGACATCATTAACCACTAGTACATGAAGTTGTTTACCCTGTACCTTACCGGAATTATTCACAAGTTAACGTCCCCAGCAAGTCAAGTAGGTCTCCACTTTGGTCCCTTGTGTAACAGGCGCAAGCCATTACTGGCTAAATTCTGTGAAGCATAATGCTGAATAAGCAAATAAGTTGATTATTTAGCAAAAAGATAAAATAATAATATGCACGGTTTAACGCCGTTAATGAAGGATAATTATAAATGAACCATGTTATCAAGCACCTGTAAATGGCGGCCAAATGGGGCTGTTATTGAGGCAGCTCGGGTCTTAACGGCTAGCAGATAGCATGTTCGGGGATAATAGGGTTAAGTGAACGTCAAACAGGACCATGTCGACTGCTGCGTGATGACACTGCTGGGAAGTAAGAGCTCCTTTGTTTCCTCGACTACATGGAGAACACCTGGGAGGGGCCACATGGGACCTTTAATTTGTCACTGGAGCACATCATTGTTGGGAGTTTTCCTGCTATATATCATGCTGAGCTAGTCAGCTTCGAGTTCAACAATATGTCGTTTAGTGGGGTCAGATCAATTGTTCCTTTTTAGCTGAGTGTGTCTCTTTCAATGGCAGTTTCATACTTTTTGCGCCCATTTTGGGAAATAACAATTGGCACCGTATTGCAATTGTGTCTGTCGATACACCTTTTCGGCGGTAAGCAAAACAACGTACATTGCATAGACCTCCTCCAAATCAAATGACTGTATATCACAATTATAATAAGTGGCAAATTGCATGGTTTATTTTCAGGTTTCGGTTCCTGTTATTGTCGGGTCCACCACTTGGAGACCACACCAGTCCTCCCGGTCGTCCATCCTCCAGCCAGAGGAACAGCTGCCCTTCCATATCAAATCCAACGGCGAGGGGGTGGTCAACGGGGTCAAGATGTTGTACCAATATTTGAGATTTGCTGATCCCCGGCCACAACATCCAGAAGATATCTCCACAGGGGGTCCGCGAGAGTTTAAGATTCCCACGGCAGTGCCTACTGAACACGTGTTACCACCACTGGCTCCGAACAGGGCGTACTTGGACAACTTAGCGACATTCACCTTGGCCAGTAACAATCCTGGTTGGTCTGATGTCACCAAACTGCTGCTGATGTCACCAAACTGGTCCTACGTCACTGAGGTCTGATGCCACCAAACTGCTTCTGATGTCACCAAACTGGTCCTACGTCACTGAGGTCTGATGTCACCAAACTACTTGGGATGTCACCAAACTGGTCCTATGTCATTGAGGTCTGATGTCACCATGAAAATAGGATTTTTTAAATCTATTTTTCAAAAGAAATACTAGGTACTTAGTGCCCGAAGTACAAGACCCACCATTTCTCCTTTCAATATAGAATTTAGAAAAACTTATTTCATCATCCTCTTCAAATATATTGACATTCAGTTTGGATGTCTTACGTTTGTGGAGCAAAGGACGTTATTTGCCATTCTAACCGAAATCTCTGACTTTGTATAAATATTATTTATCATTTGGATAAGAATTTTGCATTGATTTCTTAAGTGTATACTTGTACCAATAGGTACTTGGTATATCTGAAAACTTGAAAAGTTGCCAGAGGGCAAGTACACAGGACTTTAGTGCAAAACTACATGAAAATGTAGGGTGTTTTGGTTGCGGATAAGGTGCATTCTAGGTTATAATATTGTTGTTTGTTTAAACGAGTTTTATAGATTATCAGTACATATACCGATAAATAACACCGTACATCTGTAATGTATTCATGTAACATTTCTTTCATCTTCTCTTTTAATTGCCGTTTGGATGGTATTTTATCTTTGGGTGTTTTTTACTTTATAATCAACTGTTGGAGGAAGTGTTTAAGACGTCTTAGCTTAATGACACAAGTACATACAGGAATGAATATATGGATGTAAGAATATACGGGACAATTTGATCTCATAAGAATGAGACACAAGCATTTGAACCTCTATGCAATGTGTTCTGTTTTCAGACCATTTATCCACTGTATGTCCATAGAGTGAGCGGTTGGGGAGTGGTCATATATCCACTTTATGTCCATAGAGTGAGCGGTTGGGGAGTGGTCATATATCCACTGTNTCTTAGAATTTGAGCAGCATTTATTTGATTTAATACTTTAAGTTAGTTGGATATTTCAGGTACATAATGTGTTGCGTTTCTCTTGTTATTTTATTTCTTTAGCCTACGCATTTTGTAGGGGTTTTGGTGACAATATTTAATCTTTCATTGGAAGGTAGGCTTCATCGCCTTACTCAATGTGAACAAAAATACCTAATGAGTGTAATTCTTAAAACGGGGTCGGGCAATTAGGGCACACATAATTGGCATGTTATTTATTCTCTGCAAATACATTAAGTCGATGGATAAGTAGTAGTCGTTTTCGTTTTCATCATATGTTTACCAGATGTCAGATAAATAATGGAAAAAGCCTGACTATTTATGTATCTGTGACGTTCCTATAATTGTACTTTTGTTTAGATTTTGTTCTGGAAAGTCGTATTTAAATGAGGTTCGTATTTATTTGCGTAATTATTTTACTAGGTAAATTTTTTAATGGTATTCGCTATTGTTTAGGGTGTGCGTATAATGAGTGTACAAAATAATACATTAGTGTAAGATTACTTTCCACTTGTGAAATAAAGTAGCTGTGTTGCGCTTTATAAACATAATTCCTACTGCATTGTAATGGTTATTGTTGTTTTTTGCAATAAATTACTATAAATGAAAATTCACAGGCCTTCCTCTCATTAAATGAAATGCTACATGAATTTGAAACATTATCAGTGCTATAAGTAATTGAAATAACTATAATCGTCCATATTTGATTAGATAAGGGTAGTAAAGNATCTTGAGCTTTATTCCACACATCAATAATGTGAAGTGTCTATGGCACCAAAAATATTATCTTGTTAATGGGCAATTTGTAACCACGTGTTTTACATTTATCAATCAATTTGAATTTTAATGGGCGGCGGCACCAAGTACGGTCAATTAATTCACAGTTAGTTTTGTTTCTTTTGCTCTGTATCAGCGTGAAATCAGGCCTTTTGTGCAGTCTGGTCGGTACGATACATCTTAAAGATAAACGGACTTTTGACATTTAAAATCACGTGCACCTAATACGTTTTTGTAAAATGCATAATATAAGCGTTCTAGATTTCTTTTCGTTCCGCTCGAAACGGATATGTTTGCTAAAAGAACCTAAGAAGATATGTTGATTCTGAGATTTGTATGGAAAATAAATAAATAAAAAGTATAATATATAAGGCATTGTAACTCTACTTCTTGTGTCCCGCAACGTGTGTGCTTCCCGCACGTGTGTTTGTGTGTGCGACTGTGTGTGTGTGTGTGTGTGTGTGTGTGCGTGTGCGTGTGTGCGTCTGTGTCCAGGCCCCGGAACTCGAAACCATCGCGCATTGCGACCGAGCGCAAGCGTCTTGATTCCGTAACTCGCCCAGGTCGTGTTTCTGTAATGAGTATGTATGTGAAACATTACGTTTGCATGGATAACCGTTGCCCCGGTTTCCTCGATACCACAGACATGATGCAGCAGTGGCCGTTCCTACATCACATCTTCTCTGGCACAATAAAGAGCGATATTGTCGACAAGGATGCCATCACGGTTTCGACTGTATTATCTGATCCTGAGTGCACGGTGGTGTGTATTGGGCAGTGCGCTAACGTCGGTATGTTTGCAGAGTCCCCCCCCGCCTCTTTCACTGGCATTTCATATAACATGTCCGTTTTAAATATTCTTTGCCACATGCACAGGAGCGAGTCCCCAAATAAAAGGAAAAAATCTTCATCATGTTTAATATTTATCACAGTTCTTAAGAACTAAGAACTCAGAAGACATTTCATTTCCAAGTCCATATTTATTCTATGATTTGCCTCCCCCTGTCTTCCTGTCAGCAGACTTACTGGACTACACTTCGGTCAAGAAACTATACATCAAGTTCATAAAATATTATACTGATAATGTTCATAGTAATGATAATCCTGGTTATTATTCACATACACACGCTATTGTATAATAATTATTTCATATATTTATATATATATATATATCAAACACATCCATACTATAGAATATAATGGGCCATGTATAGTCCTTAGAATGTGTATATTTTTATACGGAATTATTTTCCTTTTTGTACGTTTTGAAAGTAGCATTATATGAGATTTCAAAAGACCTGCTTGTCTATATCATCTGTAAATAGAGAAGGGTTCATATTTAGAATAGTTGACATTTGGTTGTATCACCACTAAATATACAGCCTTTCTTCATCATGTAATAGATTGCACTGAAGTCTGTTGCAGTTACTAACGTGAAACTGTGGCCCTAAAAATGTCCACATCTTCAACCTGTCAGTTAAAAGCTGTCATCGATATTTGATGCTTCCAGGGACTTCCATGTTTTATACTTATCAACAACCACTCTACACAATTCAAAATCCAAAATTACATATAACAGTTTCTTATGATTTTTTTTCACATAACTCAAATAGCACTAACTTGCAGTTTCACATTTGAGATAAAAATGTAATATTTGAACAGGATATCAACTATCTAATAAAAAAGGATGCAATAAGTAAATCAGATATAAAAACAGCTTTTTCTGCTAGAAATAGGCAGAATGTGGACATGATTTGTGTTCTCTCCACCTCCTGCTATAACCTCTTATGTACAAAATGTGCCTCACAGTGGTCTTGAAAAGGGCTCAAACAGCAAAATACATCTCCTTGCACTAAAATGATACAATGCCTTACATATGATGTATTTTCTGCAGATAATTAGAGGACAGCAAAAAGGAGGATTTCAGCTGCAAACATACGTGAGATAATTCTACTGGCAGTCTTCAACAGCATTTAATTCTATTAAATTCTAAATGACATAAAAAAAACCCCATCTCTTCTAAACTCCATAACTATAGCAGCTTCGTCTCAGTATTCATTTTCAAATTATCTGTCTTTAAAACACATTTCAATGTGACTGATAAAACCAATAACCATTTTTGCAGCTGTTTTTTTTTTTTTTTTTTTTGGTAGGGTGAGTGTGGGGCAAAATGTCTCCCCATACTTTTACCATAGCTGATATTTGTCCCTGAATTTGTCACATTAAAAACTACACTATATGCCAGACACCTTTCTTCAGTTTCAACACCTAGCTCATGACCAACTTGCCTACCTGAACTTGTTGACATCTGCTCTCTCACTCGCCCCCACGGGAAAATGACATTTTTTAGAATAAATCTTTTTAGAGGTGCCTATCACACAATGTATTCTGACATAAAGAGTAATTCAAACAGAGAACTAGTTGTATTAGCAGAGATGTGACAATGCTGACCACTAGTAATGGACTTCAGCCATGTGCTGTCCCATAGCAGTAAACTGAGAACTCTAGTTGTATTAGCAGAGATGTGACCATGCTGACCACTAGTAATGGACTTCAGCCATGTGCTGTCCCATAGCAGTAAAAGCTGAATGAATGGCATAGGACAGGGCCGATAACATCATTTTTATCTTCTTCACCTTGAAAAACTTTCCATAGTTCCCCAGCCTTAGTTCCTGTGACAGATCAACTCATAGTTCATCTCTCCACAGCTGTTAGTAGCTTATGGTGATGTGTTCAGATTTGTAGTAAAATGTATATTCTTTTATCAAATATATTTCTTGGCACAAAATATCAGCATACAGACAAGAACAATGTGACCACATGTAGTAAACTACAAGGCTGGGGGATGTCTAACTACAAGTCTGCTACAAGGCTTGGGGATGTCTAACTACAAGGCTGGGGGATGCCTGACTACAAGGCTGGGGGATGTCTGACTAGAAGGCTGGGGGGTGTCTGACTACAAGGCTGGGGGATGTCTAAATACAAGGCTGGAGGTGTCTGACTACAAGGTTGCTACAAGGCTGGGGGATGTCCGACTACAAGGCTGGGGGATGCCTGACTACAAGGCTGGGGGATGTCTGACTACAAGGCTGGGAGATGTCTGACTACAAGGCTGGAGGTGCATTTCACAATCCACAAAGACCCTGGCAACCTACTCAGGCCCTGGCAACCATAAAAGAACCTCAGTTTTGGTGAGGTACAAAATCTTGAAATATGTTTACACATTCAAAGAGTGAATACACTGCAGTAATGACAAAGATCCTTTGAACCTGTGAACCCACGTGAAACTTAAGATTTTAGTCAACTAACAGACATGACAAAGATTCATCTGTACATACTTCAAAAGTAAAAATTTATACTCACATCCAGGAAAAACATAAGAGTTCATACCCTGGTTCAATGTACACACCCTGTTAAAATCTGTTTATGAAAGAACATGCTACTTGGAAGAATTTAAAATAAAAATAATCAATATATAGATATTTTCTCTCTGAAAACTGACAGGCAGTATTTTTTCAGAAGCAGTCACAAACTGTGCTTTTTTTCTCTTTCCTTATTTCTACGCATCAATACTGCTAAGTAAAAGAGGGATTTCAAATTATTAAGTATTTCTTTTTAACTCTCAAAAGTGAAGACTTCAGATACAGACACAGCCAACCAAATACATGCAAGCAGAAATGATCAACTCAAACTTTGACATTACACTTTGTGGCCTGCACAATAAGTTCTACTGGATGGTCAATTTAAAATGGTTTTCGGAAGTTCCCTCTAGTTGACATTTATATCCCAATCACTTGATACTGGTCAGTGGCACTGGTTCTACTGGCATTTTAGGGGTTATCCATTCCTGTCAATCACTAGTGACTTTCAGACCATGGATGTAACATATACTGTGTTCCAGTCCTGCCTTAACTATGAGCTGAATGTTATATACACACAGTTCCAATCTTGGTGATTTCTGTACTGAATATTTTATACACAAAATTTCAATCTTGATGACTTCTGTACTGAATATTTTATACACACAGTTCCAATCTTGTTGATTTTGGTATTGAATATTTTATACACACAGTTCCAATCTTGGTGATTTCGGTATTGCATATTTTATGCACACAGTTCCAATCTTGGTGATTTCGGTATTGCATATTTTACGCACACAGTTCCAATCTTGGTGATTTCGGTATTGTATATTTTAGGCACACAATAGTTCCAATCTTGATGATTTCTGTATTGAATATTTTATACACACAGTTCCAATCTCAGTGACTTCTGTATTGAATATCTGATACAGTTCCAGTCACGAAAGTCATTCCCATTGGTTCACTGATGCTGTTTGTTGAAATGATTTTATTCCTACACTTCTTGACTGGTCTGTACTGGTGCCATGAATCAAACATCCACCTGTTGACTGTTTTTTGATATTTACGTGAAGATTTAATACAGAATATTTGTCAAGTATAATGCTGCTAATGGCTGTATTGTTGCCAGCAATAGAATGGTCAGCTGTTAGCTGTTACTGTACATTGAAATGGACATCAACATGCTGGTTTTGATGACATACTGCAGACACTGAAAAAGAAAGGAGAATATTAATAATGAAAATAACAATAAATAAATAAAATGATAAAAAAAAGAATTGGCAGTTAATGGGTCAGTTTCTTCTGCTGTTGCATCTGCATGTCTTTTGAGATCAATATACTTTTCTGGGGAGAAGGGCAGCTTTAACTGAAGCAACAAGAATGGCTGCCTGGCTTGTCAAGAATCAGATATCTTCACCAAAAGACAACTGACACTGGCTTTTAAAGAAAAACGTTTGCACTGTTTAATTCTAAAATCC